TACATTACCTTTTTCAGATCAAAGTAGTTTCCTATTCTTTTCAAGAAGAAAGTGCATTACCATTTTTCAGAAGACTGTCAATTCACTATCTAAGCAAATTATTGCCCAAGCCATACAGAGATATGAATCAGCCCGAGGAACTATCGTATTATCTTCTGTTTCAACTGAACCGTGTCAATTAGATTTCGTTTTCCATTATGTATGTTGTCAAATCCTGGCAAATGTCAAAGAATCCTGAAATAACTCCACAGAGGCCGGTATCCTGTCACCAAGTCACCCTTTATTTACGCAGGCATGGTACTGGTCTCTGGTCCTGCTTCCGCAGGGCCAGCTCTCAGAGTGAATAGAACATCTGATTCTCCTGTTTATATCTGTCAGCCAGGGCTCCCTGATTGGACCAAATTAACAACCCCAATCAGGGAACCATATTTTCTGAGGCTGACCTCATTCCAATCACTACAAATCCCAATGACTGCCACACTTCCTTCTAATCAAGCAGGATTCATTAAGCTATCTCATACCCTGTCTGTTGTCAGTGTTAAAGGATTTATGAATCTATATAAAACAGCTTTAAATGCCCCTCTTGTCATTCGGTCTTTAACTGAAGTGCCATTCAGTACAAATATGACTTTCTCAAATAAATGGTGATAAATACACTGTATCCTCATTGTGTGAAGGTGAACATAAAAGACTAGTTGTGACCAGTTACAAGTGTAGTTTGCGAGAAAACAGAGTTAATGTTTCGGGCCCACTGATGCAGGTCTGGCAGCATCTGTGGATCCTCAGAACTTATGATGATTTAGCTTTCTGATAAAGTGCATGTGCCTTTAAGGCTACTAAACCCAAGCCTATATTTCATACAAGAGATGGTATTAAGTAAACACTGGGTGATCCATACAGACGTATTTAAGAGATTGTGGATATCGTAGCTCTGGCACTTTGTGACACTGGACAGTTTCTCTGTCTCTGTACTTTGAAAATAGATGGGATGTGTGCACCTGAAGTGTAGCGTGGGCATGCAATGGATAGGAAGTTAAATAGTCATAGTTTTTTGGATGTTTGCATCATTTTATAATCATATCCCTAAGCAAGTCAGATCTGCCTCTCTGTTCAGTTCATTCGTTGCTGCAATACTGAGCATGCTTAGTCACTTATTGGTGTACACCTCCTCCTACCGCCCCCTTGATCATGACCCCACCCCTGAGCACCAAACCATCATCTCCCAAACCATCCACAACCTCATCACCTCAGGTGACCTCCTACCCACGGCCTCCAACCTCATCGTTCCCCAACCTCGCACTGCCTGCTTCTATCTCCTTCCCAAAATCCACAAACCTGAATGCCCTGGTCGACCCATTGTCTCCGCCTGCTCCTGCCCCACCGAACTGATCTCCAACTATCTGGACTCCATTTTCTCCCCCTTGGTCCAGGAACTCCCTACCTATGTCCGTGACACCACCCACGCCCTCCACCTCCTCCAGAACTTCCAATTCCCCGGTCCCCAACACCTCATCTTTACCATGGACGTCCAGTCCCTCTACATCTGCATTCCCCACGCAGATGGCCTTAAGGCCGTCCGCTTCTTCCTGTCCCGCAGGCCCGATCAGTCCCCCTCCACTGACACCCTCATCCGCTTAGCCGAACTCGTCCTCACCCTCAACAACTTCTCTTTCAATTCCTCCCGCTTCCTACAGACAAAGGGGATAGCCATGGGTACCCGCATGGGCCCAAGCTACGCCTGCCTCTTTGTAGGTTACGTGGAACAATCCCTCTTCCGTACCTACACCGGCCCTAAACCCCACCTCTTCCTCCGTTACATCAATGACTGTATCGGCGCCGCCTCGTGCTCCCACGAGGAGCTCGAACAGTTCATCCACTTCACAAACACCATCCACCCCAACCTTAAGTTTACCTGGACCATCTCTAACACCTCTCTCCCCTTCCTGGACCTCTCTGTCTCCATATCGGGCAACCACCTAGAAACCGATATTCATTTCAAGCCCACCGACTCCCACAGCTACCTAGAATACTACTCCTCCCACCCACCTTCCTGCAAAAATGCTATCCCCTATTCCCGATTCCTTCGCCTCTGCCGCATCTGCTCCCAGGATGAGGCATTCCACTCCCGTACATCTCAGTTGTCCTCGTTTTTCAAGGACCGTAACTTCCCCCCCTCAGTGGTCGAGAAAGCCCTCAACCGTGTCTCCCACATCTCCCGCAACTCATCCCTCACACCCCGTCCACACAATAAGAACCAAAAAAGAATCCCCCTCGTCCTCACGTACCATCCCACCAACCTCCGGATCCAACGCATCATCCTCCGACACTTCCGCCATCTGCAATCCGACCCCACCACCAAAGACGTCTTTCCCTCCCCACCCTTATCTGCTTTTGGAGGGACCACTCTCTCCGTGACTCCCTTGTCCGCTCCACACTCCGCTCCAGCTCCACCACACCCGGCACTTTTCCCTGCAACCGCAGGAAGTGCTACACCTGCCCCCATACCTCCTCCCTCACCCCCATCCCAGGCCCCAAGAAGACTTTCCACATCAAGCAGATGTTCACCTGCTCATCTGCCAATGCGGTATACTGCATCCGCTGTACCCGGTGTGGCTTCCTCTACATCGGGGAAACCAAGCGGAGGCTCGGGGACCGCTTTGCAGAACACCTACGCTCGGTTCGCAATAAACAACTGCACCTCCCAGTCGCGAACCGTTTCAACTCCCCCTCCCATTCCTCAGACGACATGTCCATCCTGGGCCTCCTGCAGTGCCACAACGATGCTACCCGAAGGTTGCAGGAACAGCAGCTCATATTCCGCTTGCGAACCCTGCAGCCCAATGGTATCAATGTCGATTTTACAAGCTTCAAAATCTCCCCTCCCCCTACCGCATCCCAAAACCAGTCCAGCTCGTCCCTGCCTCCCTAACCTGTTCTTCCTCCCACCTATCCCCTCCTCCCACCTCAAGCCGCACCTCCATCTCCTACTGACTAACCTCATCCCGCCCCCTTGACCTGTCCGTCCTCCCTGGACTGACCTATCCCCTCCCTACCTCCCCACCTACACTCACCTTTACTGGCTCCATCCCCGCCTCTTTGACCTGTCTGTTTCCTCTCCACCTATCCTCTCCTCTATCCATCTTCTATCCGCCTCCCCCTCTCTCCCTATTTATTTCAGAACCCCCCTTCCCCTCCCCCTTTTCTGATGAAGGGTCTGGGCCCGAAACGTCAGCCTCTCTGCTCCTATGATGCTGCTTGGCCTGCTGTGTTCATCCAGCCCTGCACCTTGTTGTCTCTAAGTCATCCTGCAATCAGTTAGTCAGGATGTTAGCCTCATTGTGCTCAGTTTGACTAACTTTGGAAGCTCTTAATTCAGATTAAATTAAATTTAAATGATATGCATCAACAATGGAATAGACACAAAATACTCTCATTTATACCATATAATCCTTTAAAACTGTGGGGCAATTAATATTACCTTCTACTCTTTTTTGGCTCCCAGCAGTAGTTGCAATGAAGATTTTATGTTGCTGGGGACAGGAATTTTTTCTGTGTAACTTTTCTACATTGGAAATCTGTTTAATCAAAACATGTCTATGTTAAAGGAACACATTGGAATTTCAGAAAACGTAATATCTTTTACTGGTATAAAACAGAGCAAATTCACCTCAGTTATGGTTTGTAAAAATAAATATTACTGAGTGTAATAGGAACTGGATACACAGAGGCTATATGAACCATCTATAAAACAGAGCAGGTTCACCCCAAATATGGTTTGTAAAAATAAATATTACTG